TTTCTCCGCCTGTAAACTGGACATTGGACATTGAACTGAACTGAACTGAACCGAGACCACAAGGTGGACGTCTCCTGGTTTGTTTTCAAGTTACTGGACAATGGATGCAGATCGCACGTTGTACCTACGAAATATCACTCCGGATATTACAGAGAGTTTGCTTTATGAATTGTTCCTTCAAGCTGGTCCACTGGAAGATGTTGCAATAAAAGGAAATATCGCCTTCGTTACGTTCGAGGACGAGGACAGCGTACTATACGCCTGTTCACTTTTCGAGGGTTTGAAACTATATGGCAATGAAGTCACTGTGCGGCCGCGTGCAGGCTCTAAGTTTGCTTCTGCCAAGATACCGTCTGTTCCGCCATTCAGGGATTTCTGTATAAACCTACCGGACATGCTAAATTCACCTCATAACCGTTCTTCCGACTCTTTATCCCGGTCGATTATGGAGTCCCCCGTACCTTTCATTGGCTATTACCACGCTAATCCCCTCGATTTAATGTCAGCATCAAGAGACATTCGGAATTCTCGTTCGAGCTTTTCGTCGGCTTCCTACCCGTTGCTGCCGCACTCTTCTAGTCCACGTCCCAATTTATGTTCACCGATATTGCCTTATTGGCAAAGTAGCGGTACACCGGGCTCAGATGAAAGAATAAATCGTCTCCACCACGAAGACAGAACAAGCCACCTTCGGGATTCAACGCATTTAAGGCATTCCGGAGGCAGAGAACGAAGCCCCAATGGTAACAATCATAGTCGCTCTAGTCTATGTGGAACTCCGCCATTAGGTACTAGAGGACACAGTTCATACACATACAAGTCATCACATGATTATTCAAAGGGTTATGTTCACAGATAAATCAAACTACTGTAAATAAATCTTTCTACGTATTTTGTCTTCTAACCATCTCGATTATCTACCTTGGTTATAACTTGGAGTTTTAATTCTTATAGATGTCTGAAGGCGAGCGAAACTTGAAACCCGGTTTGGAAGATACTTCCTGCATTTTGCTTACTATATCCGGTAAAGGTGGGGTTGGAAAATCTACGATTTCTGCCCAGCTGGCCATTGGAATGTGGAAGAAGGGGCTGCGTATAGGTGTCCTGGATACTGATTTCTGTGGTCCTTCAATACCCCAAATTCTGGGGCTTTGCAACAAAAAGGTAGGTATGTGAGTCAAACAACTAGATGGAATTTCGATCACATTCATTTGCTCCATAACGTTATTGTTAGGGACTGCAGATTATGGATCAATTCTGAGGTGAAAGTTAGATTTTTCCTCCATTATCTTTAAATTGGGGTGAAATAATTAGCTTCTACTATTTGACCTCAACGCCGCGGTAGAAATAAAATTCGCTGATCGGTGGTGGTGGCACAGTAATGTAGTCGCTGTCACCGGCATGCTTTGGATCCTATGGTCCGAGGTTCGAGCCCCGCTACCCGACTTTGGTGGCAGGCAGCTCTGCTGTCCTCCTGTTCAATACCACGCCTAACCTAAGGGGCCTCATGTGGGTTGCCACTCCAAGTCCCGGGGTTTAGGTTGCCGGTTACCACCACTGAACAGCAGGTTCTCGTGACTATGGGGTTCGCTGGATGGCACTGGCGGGGCTCGAACCTCAGACCATAAGGTCCAAAGGACACCTGTGACAACGACTAAACCACTGCGCCACCACCACCCTGCACATACATAGCGTTTCAAGTATTCTGGTCCTATGAGAAATGACAATGAGATAGGTAGATCGACTGGAGAACTAAAGCTTCGGGATGTTTTTACCAATGAATCCATTGTGCAGAGGCAGATGATTAATGAGGATTAGTATCAAACCACTCCAAAAGAGGCAAACGATCCATTGCTGTTGGAAGGTTTAATTGTGACGCGATCTAATGGTGGAACGGTAGTCGAAACAGAAAGCCAAGTTAAATTTGTAGTTTTTTTCTTCGAGCAGTGTGTATGTTATATATATAATGTAAAATAAAGCCCGCATTAATATTAGACTGGTGTTATGGAATAACACCAGTCTAACGTAAGCACTGAAAAATTGTGAAGAGCCGTGTGGAAGGTATCCGTCGGTTAGAGGCTTTTAGGAATCCTCGTATGAAATACTTTCAGAAATCAGTGTTGGTGCAGCTAGAGTAGGGCTGGTGAGTAGGTTCCTTCTAGACCAACTGTTGATTTGGGAATGTTTTGTTGACATTCCTTGCTCAAGTAGTCTCAAACGTTTGAATATCCTTGTAGTAGCGCTGTTAGTGAACGAACAGTTGTTTTCATCAACTGATTATGCTCCTAGAGCTTTCTCACTGCCTGTCCAACCCAGTGTGATCCCCGTCGTGACCATTGTTAGGCTGCGTCTTTGTGTCACCGATAAGGGAGACGGATATTCGCAAACTGTAAGTAGGATTACGACCAGGTCGTGATGGTACTGTCATCTTCCCGTTGCGTCAAGTCCTCGAGTTACAATATACGAATAGCCAGCAGGATTCCGATCGGGTCACGAGTGCACCCATCAAGTCGTGACTCTGCGTCAACTCCTCAAATTGCGCTTCACATCGTCGACTAATAATCGCAGTGTTTCTTGATCTGAAAGGAGCCTTTGATTCAGGTGACCGTGAAGCCCCCATGGGGTTGCTGCTTCTAATAGGAATGCCACAGAAGTATATAAACGTACTGTGACCACTGTACCTGCATAGTTTTGGTAGCGTGATTATCTACAGTGAGCTAAGCAAATCGTTCGAAACCAGGAGCGTTGTTCGTCAAGGGTGCCCTATTTCGCTATTCCTGTTTATTTTCGTCGTAGACGAAATACTGTAGAACGCAATAAATGGTCTCTAATACTGATATTTAATGGGCAACTGCAGAAAAGCTGTGCGATTTAGGGTGAACTGACGACGTCTTTCGTCTGTTAGAATGTATGTAGGATGCGCAAGTGTTTTGTCAGTTCCAGGTTGTGTTACTCCGTTTGGTATACGCTTTGCACCTTGGAAGTGTGAAGTAATGTTACAAGATTCCAGTTCGCCTACCCGGGTCGGATGCTTGATGGTCAAACATTACCTATAGTGGATTGCTTCTCTTGCTTAGGTAGTTGCGAGATAAATGAAGGTAGCATAGTCATTGAAGATACCGCCTGCACTTTCAAGGCACGAGCAGCTTACGCAGGACTAAAATGCCTTCGGTAGTCATCATCATACGGTGAAGCGAACTTCGCTGATAGCTGCCAAATTCAATGTGTACACGGTTAGCCAGAATATGTAAGGTAAACATGTAGGGGGGGACGAAATTGAAATTCTTTGGTCCACACACAGTCTAACGGTGCATACATAATGTTTCTAGCACTTGCCTGGTAAGATTTTTGCTACCCTGTCCTTCCGCAACAGTATAAGAGGAAATCCCCATAAGACAAAAGGCATACTGTAAAAGAAACAATAGGAGAACATTTATGTAAGATCCATTTTATTGGTTCTGCGTTTAAAGATTGAAAGACGGAAAGTGAGTGTTCCAAAACTTAGCATTTCGGTGAAAAGTATTGGAGCAGAGAAGTACCGCAACTGGTGATGATCGATGTTGGTTTCGGCATGGGGAGAAGTGCGGTAGGAGAGGGAGCAGAGCGGGGTGGCGTCATCGGCAAAAGAATGGAATGAGTTGCCAGTTTTAGAAAGGAGATCATTGATAAATAGAAGTAAGGGTGGGGGCAAGCATAGAACCTTGTTGAACGCCAACGTTCACAGGATCCGGCTGAGATAGAACCCCATAAACTCCAACGGAGATTTTCGCTTCACTTGATATCCAGAGCTGGAGGGAACCCGACCATGGGCAGTTTCGCCAGAAGACCTTCACGACGAGACTGCACCTTGACGGGGTGTGATGGCCTGTGCACCTCTGTAACCCAACGAGCTATACAGGATGGTTTTTGTCAAGCCAGGAAATCTAATCATGCCTGGAAGATCAATGGGTAGAGGTCAGAGGATGTTCAGTCTCCTGGTCCTCCAGGTTTGGGGTTCGACTGGAATTTGCGTTTCAGTCGGTAAAAAATGGTGGAAGAATAATCAATCCAAGTAAATGGGCCTCCACTTCGCTTCACCGGCTGTCTTGCGGTTAAGTTCTTGTTAGAACTAAAAGCTTTGGACGAGAACCCTAATCGTTCTCTTGCTTAGTGGCTGAACACCCTAGCAGTACCCGTCCATGAAACCCCAATGCATACATAACCAAAAAATAATTCCATACTGCATCGGTCGTCGCGCAGAATAATCAGGACCACTTTTCCCATTGCATCGAGCAGGGTGGGTAGTGATAAGTGGGCTACTGCTCAGATATCCCAACCTTTGTTTAATCCGTTGTCTTCAGTACCCAGCCATCTCCATTTGCTCCTTCTTCCGACCGGTAATAGTCCCTCAGTCGACTTAGATGTCGCTCGCCGAAGGTCGTTGCCAAATAACACTGTAAGTAATGTACCTCGAAACGAATTGCAAAATCTAAAGCCTCGTCAATCACTGAATCTGGGGGCCTTCAAAGTGAGGACTCCGAGGCAGGTGAGTCAACAAACATGTTTGGCGTGAACAATGAAGTCTTCAGAAATCGATGTATGTTGCGTATCGGAGACAAGAATTTAGGAAGCAGAGTACAAGCACCGTGTAGGAAGCCGCGCCGGTAACCCTGGGACAGCGAAGTTGCTCCAAAGATGGCGAAGTTCATATAGAATACGGATAAAGAAACAATGAACATGTTTCAGGAGATAGGTGACGACAGGTATGTGTATCAAAGTGAACACGATTGATGGAGCTGGGACCATTGCCGAACGCTAAAGAGTCGTCAGAAATCAACCTACCAGTCGGGCCACACCAAAAATCACTCATGAAACCACAATAATTTATGGACCAAATGCGAACCCGTTCTAATTCTCAAAAGAAAGACGTCGTGGCTCGCTGCATGCAGAGTCCATTTTCGCCGGGGGAGGAGTGTTGTGAGATACTACTCACTTGTGAGTACTTCGCAAAAAGAAGCGATCGGTGGTTGCTTTTAACGGCCAAAAATGAACAAAATCTGTTGGAGCGAATTACTGCTGTTCGGTATGGTAAATACAAGAATCCACATCTAATAGTGGACCGTTCCATCAACCATCCTATATGCGTGTGGGAATTCTGCAGACTCGTTCGAACTGAGATATTTTCTTGTATGAATGAGAAGTTACCAGTACCCTGATCGTTATTCATAATAAACAACTCTCCTCGACCGGGCACCACCTGGAATTAGTAGTAGTAGCCATCTGAGTTCATCGAGTGTCCGCTTCCTTCGGACATCAGGAGACGATGGAGTTCGCTGTTTGGGTCAGCGAAGTGTAGGAATCGCACTAAACGCTTAAGTTAAAGTCTCACGGATAGAATGGATACCCATCAAGAGTCGTTTGTGAACAATTGAGCTGCAGGGTTCAGTTAGTGTTCGACAAAACAGCTACACCAAAAGGTGCTTGTTCATCGTATCGGAAACTGCACCAATCAACTGCAGTCGAAATTCACAAAAGGACGAATTTTATGACTATCTTACCGATCTCATCCCATTAAGCCGTAGTTCTGGTGTTCTAGTGCTGGCAGATGATTTCAACGCGTAATTCGGAAAACTGAGCGCATCCAAAGCCTGTCCAGAAAGCGGGTTGGGGGACGCTCTTCCCACCCAGCGAACAGACAGCGGTTTTCGACTAACTCAGCTCTGCGCAGATCACCGTATCTGTTCTTATCGAGCACCAACTTTCGAAAAAGCTCTTGTCGGACGCCAACATGGCGTTCTAATTCAATGAGAAATTTGACCCAGATTGACCATAACTGTAAGCTACCGTTGGTGTGGTTCAGTCCAAAATTGCAGATCCTATTGGACAACCTGCGTGAAGTCAAACCACGCACTGTTTCTAATGCGCTTCGCTCTTCGGCTCATCAGTCGTCGTCAGATGTCGCCTCCCCAGTTAGCTAATCATTATCCATCTGTCTGCGCACGATATGAGGAGAAACTGGGACATGAGCTAGGAGAACCGCGACATGGTGTAAAAGAACAACAGTGTAATCAGATTGGAGTTGCATTGCACCCAACAGAAAACTTTATTTGTGGGACCGGGCCAGAAGTTCACCGAAGGCATTGGATCTCTCAGGAGTCAGTAATCCTGATGGATCAAAAGCGAAAGATCCCAATATGCCAGGCTCAGCATGGGGACCGGTGTCGCCTGCAATGTCAACTCAGGAATAGCCTTAAGAAAGATCGCGAAAATTAGTGGACCAAAGTAGCTAGTGAAATGGAGGTAGATTCTGCATCAGGGAATAGTCAAAGACTGTTTCATATGATACGCAGCACTGGAGTTCGTCGATCAGTCAGACCATTTGCGATAAAAGTGGACAGAGTATCCACAATAAAAAAACAACGACTTAATTTTTGGGCAGAATATTTTAGTGAACAGTTCAATTGGCCCAGTGCTAATGCGGTCATTGCAGCAATTGCGGTGGAAACCCTATGGTGGTAACATGCGAGCCTCCATCAGAATTGGAAGTACGAAGCTGCAGTCAATCACTAAAGAACGGGAAGGCTGCGGGACCTGATTGGCTTCTCTCTATTCTTTTCAAGGTGGGTGGAGATTCTCTTGTGGACTCCATTACTATTTTACTCTGCAGCATTTTGTCGAAGGAGCGTATCCCTTTGTCGTGAGGTGAATCGTTGATCGTCCCGATCTTCAAGGAGGGATCACGCAACGACTGCACTAACCACAGCAGGACTAGTTTATATATATAATTAATATCGGATTGTAGACAAGCATGGTGCCAACGCCACAACAATAATGGGGTGCAGGTGGATCGGAATACAGGGCGAATTGGAAAGAAGGTGAAACAGTTAAGCACGGGGAAGTGTTAGATAGCTGGGATGACAAAAAATGTTGACTTCTGTGATACTTCGCCGCCTGAAACCCTTAAGGGAGATAAATATACGCGAACAGTAAGCCGGATTCCGACCAGGTCGGGGTCGCATCGACCAAATCTTCACTATGCGTCAAGTCCTCGAATTGCGTCACACACATTTCATGGCCAACCATAGCAGTGTTCCTTGGCCTAAAAGGAGCCTTCGATTCAGTTGACCGTGAAGCTCTTAGGGGGTCGCTGCTTCGCGAAGGAATGCCGCAGAAGTATGTAAACCTATTGCGGTTGCTGTACCTACATACTTCTAGTAGTGTAGCGGTCTACGGTGGGCTAAGTAAATCATTTGCTAATGACATCGTATGCCTGCTCGAATGNGCTCGAATGTAAACGGGATGCGCAAAGCGCTCTTGGCAGACTTCCAAGTTCTGTAACTCCCTTCGGCATGCACTTTGCACCTTCAAAGTGCAAAGTGATGCTACAAGACAAGGTGTTGTGTATCTCAGCACTGATACTTGATAATCAAGAATTAGCTGTAGTGAAATGTTTCACCTACTTAGGTAGCTGTGTTGCTAATGACGGTAGCATAGTCAGCGAAGTGACCGCCCGCATTTCCAAGACTGGAGCTGCTTACGTAGAACTGAAACACCTTTGGTGCAGACGCAATGTTTCATTGAACCTGAAAGGTCGTGTATACTGCGCCAGTGTACGGTCAGTTCTGCTCTATGGTTGCGAGACCCTAAATTTACGCATGGAAGAAATTTGGCGGCTAGAATTCTTCGACTGTCGATGTTTACGTGGTTCGGCGCGGGTTGGATTGAGCAAGCGTGTAAGAAACTCTGAGGTAAGGTAATGATTGACAATTATTCGATGGAGAATTCGTTGTTCCATCGAACTCAAATTAGTCGGCTTCGCTGTTTAAGACACGTATTGCGCATGCCCAGCCATCGTCTGCCGTACCTCGCTATAGCGGCTCGGGGCTGGAGGAAACCCCATGGAAGGCAACAGGTGTCGCGGGAACGAGACACGAAGAAATGTACAGAGCGATTAGGTAGAATGTACCGTCTTCCAGGTTGGGTTCCGAAAGACTTGGCAACTGGATGGTTGGAGACACTGAAGCATATGGCAACTTATCGACAGTAGTGGCGTTCTTATTATTTCTTATCAGGCCGGAATGCTTGTAAAGTTATGTATACACAGTTAGGTTGTGTACTCTGTGTTAACCATAGAGGTTAACTTTCTTTGCCTCTGTTCAGTTAGGACCAACCTCTATCCATCTTATACTTTCTCACTTACTTTGTTTGCCTCGAGAAGTTTGCAGCGGTCAGCGAAGTTCATTTCTCTGTATCTCGCTGTACGATGACGATCATTGTATTTACTGTAGTGTGCTGATTCCTCAATAGTTGAGCTCAGTATACTCCTTCGTAGTTCAGAAACGCAGATTTCAGCTAACAACGAACCGAGTGAGAATCCATGGCCACCTGTTCCATCTGATGATAGATACCGTCGTTAAATTAAAAAAACGACGTTACGTGTGCAACGTAATAACAGCTCCTTTAGGTTTGCGACCGAAATATCAACATTTACATTTGAATTTTCAATTTAATCCCAGATTAATTCTACTTTTGCACAGAAGCCCTTTATCCCGACAAACCAGATAGGTTTGTGCATAATTTGTCTGATAGGCAGCTATCTTCTGTAGAAATGGAAGTCTCATTTTTGGGATGGAGGTTTTGTTGTCCGCCGAAGACAAATAACGGAATAGATTACGAGGCGCAATTCGAAAGCCTGATGAGTCAAACGAAGGATTTGATGCTTAATAAAGACGAGGATTTGGAAAGGTTTAAAAAGCTTTAAGCAATGAAAGGCTCACAGCCGCGGACCGCTTACGCGTCAGCATATATGCATTTTGAGGGAAATCAGAAAAAACAGGTATCATCATCGGATGATACAAAGTTCTTGAGATGCAACGAAGGTAAGGATGAAACAGAAAAGGTGTGTGGGGGGCGAAATAAAAAAAATACAGAGGCGCATGTTATGTTCGAGAGATTGAAACCATGTGGTTCCACTTTCCCACGATTGTATGGTCTTTCTAAGATCAACAATGAAGGAGTTCCAATTCAATGATGAATTCACCATATCACACAACGGCACAGTGATTGACCTAATTACTAGAACCCGTCCGTCGTAGACCTGCTATGTAGTATCCGAGACAGTTTCCGGTTTTTAGCTAACAGAAAACTTGAATCTACAAGAAAAGACGATGTTGCCGTTGGATGTCTTCTCACTCCTCACCAATGTACCCGTGATAGAGGCAGGCAGCCTGAAAGCAATCAACTGTATTTCACTGCAATATTATGTTTATAATGAAAAACACTTACCTTGAGGTGCTTAATCGACGCAATATATATATGTATATATATGTATTCACTCCCGTCTGAGTCCAAATCGTATGCCAAACAAATCGCAGTGCAGTAGTCTTCATGAAATGATAAAGTTCCATGATTTACTTGAGGGCGCGACATTGCCAGGTTTCTCAGTCAAGGTAAGTAGATTTTATTGGCGAATTCACAACCTCAGCCTTTGAATAGCCAAAGCAGGGCGGTGGGTGAAAATGCACTCCATTGAGGGCCGGTGTCCAGCTCATCAGATCATGCACCCCTTGAATGGGGTCAAACGTCCAAGGTGCCCGATACACCTGGATGCCTGATCGAGTCAGCGACCATTGCCACAGAGGTGACTACTGGTTTTAATAACTGAATATTTACGTCATAGTGTCAGATCCGAACGATGTTCGGAGTGTATCGAAAAATCGATGCACCATGTGATATGTTTTACATAAGTTGTAATTGTGAAAACACAGCGATGTCGGTACAGGTGAAAATAAGTCGACGTTTCGGTTGCTGTGGGTAACCTTTGTAATGACGATTTTATAATCGATTGTAAAATATTTACGTGGTTGAGCTCGTACTGTTTCTAACACACTAGTGTGTAATAAGAAGGTGATCGTGAATTGCACTACCTAGTCTTACAGAACATGTATATAAAAACTCGGTTTTCCGCCTCAATGTATATAATTCCTCTATGTGCCCACATGTGAATGGTTCCAGGTAGTATCGGCTCATGTCCAGTTTTCACACCATTCATCTGCATATACGCGAAATAGGCTGATCTGAACTTATTCTCACCGTTTGTTGCTACTTTTACGCTGTCATAGAGGATGACTTTCACGCATCTGTATACGGCTAAAATCTTCTTTTCGTTCCAGATTCATGCCTGCCCTGAAGGATGGATGCCTGTTTTTGCAGATGGTATCACCCAGCGCTTGCCCGTTGTCTCCATTGCTTTTCTTTTGGATGATCCGGATTCTGCTATCATTTGGAGAGGTCCCCGCAAGTCAGGCATGATTAGTGAACTGCTCAACTCCGTCTGCTGGGGAAAGTTAGATTGCCTAATCATCGATACGCCGCCGGGTACTTCCGACGAACATCTCACTGTACTGGAAAATATACAGAAAAACTGTTCCAACCGACTTGCTGGAGCCGTTGTCGTTAGCACGCCACAGGTTAGTCGTGGGTTTCCTTCGTCCAAATCATGTTCGAATCCATGACGCACTTAGATTTTCTATCTCAAATTTATTGTAATCATTATTAGTAGTTGATAGTTCATTTCCCCTAGAAGTATTTTATATTTTTATCTTTGATTATCTGGAGTCCAATCGTTTTTATTCCCAGATGTGGTTCCTTCCGTTCCGATCTCTGTGATATGCTGAATCGTTCTCACACAGAACGAAATCTGCACCAGAAATCCACTAATGTCCCTAGAGAGAGGCATGCCAGTTTGACCCGCC